CCCGCGGGGTTTGGGCTCCTAATCCCGGGATGGAAGGGACACCAAGCTGTGCTGCCACCCCCAACCCCTTCCTGGGATATCCCTTTGTCCCCTCCTGTCCCTCCCTGGCAGCAATTCCCGAGGGATGGGCAGAGCCAGCACCGAGCAGGTCTGTGACAGTGGCACAAGGTGTGTGACCCCCCCGTGCTCACCTAACCCATCTCCTCCCATCCCAGGGTTCAGCTCCCACTATCCAAGGTGGGAATCGTCTCCAGGATGGTGATTCCTTGGCACGATCCTGCCCCAGCGGTGGGACAGCAAACACGGAGCTGGGAAAAAGGTTATCAGGGACTGGTTTTACTGGGATGTGGCCAGCAGAGCTCCCAGCACCCAGTGCCAGATCCAGGGCTGGAATTCCTGGCTGCTCCAAGCTCCGGGAGAGCTCAGCCCTGTGTGGGTAAATATTAACCCAAACCCTCTGGTCAATCCCAGTTTATTTTTCCCAAGTTTGGAGTAGCAGCTGGAGGAGGGGAGAGGGAGCAATGCCCTCCCCAGGGTGAGGTTTGGGGTCTCACCCTGGGGCAGAGTTAAGGGGGACACAGTGAAGACATGAACACAGTGCTGCCATGAACACAGTACAATTAAATAAATTAATTAAATAAGAGCAGATCGAGCACATTGCACAGTTCCAGCCAAAACACTAAGTGCAGGACAGGGCCAGGAAGCTCACTGGGGTCTCTTTTGGTCCCTCAATAATCATAAACATGATTAATTAACCCCCAGCAGAATTGGGGATACACCAGGGAGAGCAATGAGGGGCACCAAGGGCAGAGCTCAGCCCCTCAGCAGCACTCCCAGAGCTCAGCACACACTTCCCAGCACTCCAGGAGGGATAGCTGTGGCACAGGGGATATTCCAGAGTGGGAATGGTCCCAGGCTCAGGGGGAGAAGCGTTCGTAGACCCAATCCCCCTCCCCACGGTGGGTCATGGCCCCGAGCGGTGCCGACCCTTCCCGCAGCCTCCGGAACACGATCCGGTCGTGCAGTCGGTTGGTTTGGCCCTGCCAGAATTCCATCACCTCTGGCTCCAGGATATATCCCCCCCTGGAAAGGAATCAGAGGGTTTTAGGGAGGTTCCAGAGGGGGATCAGCCCCCCACTCCCTTTATTCAGCCCTGCTCACCAGTAGGGTGGTTTGGGCACTGTTGTGTCCCTGTACTGCTCCTCCAGCTCCGCATTCCTCTTCCTTAGGAACTGCAGGATGGGAAGGGATGAGGGGAGGGAGGTGGGAAGGGATGAGGGGAGGGAGGTGGGAATGGATGCCAGAGGGGGATCAGCCCCCCACTCCCTTTATTCAGCCCTGCTCACCAGTAGGGTGGTTTGGGCACTGTTGTGTCCCTGTACTGCTCCTCCAGCTCCGCATTCCTCTTCCTTAGGAACTGCAGGATGGGAAGAGATGAGGGGAGGGAGGTGGGAAGGGATGAGGGAGATGGGAAGGGATGAGAGGAGAGAGATAGGAAGGGAGAGGGAGATGGGAAGGGATGAGGGGAAGGGAGATGAGAGAAGGGATCAGGGGATTAAGGTGGGAAGAGATGAGGGAGATGGGAGGGGATGAGTGGAATGAGGTGATAAGGGATGAGGGAGATGAGAAGAGATGAGAGGAGGGAGATGGGAAGGGATGAGGGGAGTGAGATGGGAAGGGATTAGGGGAATGAGGTGGGAATGGATGAGGAAGATGGGAAGGGATGAGGGGAATGAGATGGGCAGGGATGAGGGGAGGGAGATGGGAAAAGATAAGGGGAGGGAGATGAGAAGGGATGAGGAGAAGGAGGTGGTAAGGGATGAGAGAAGGGAGATAGGAAGGGACGAGGGGAATGAGGTGGGAGGGGATGAGGGAGATGGGAAGGGAGATGGGAAGCGACGAGGGAGGACTGACAGCCCAGGCCCCCCCTGGTGCATCCCATGGGAAGGGTTGGACTCACCTCCCGGTCTGGAATGACAGAGCTCTGCCTGCTGACCACAGCCCCAATCTGGCTGCTCCTGGGACGGGAGTGGAAGTAGCGCTCGGATTCCTCCTCCGGGAGCCTCTTCACGGAGCCCTCGATCCGGATCTGTGCCAGGGAGAGGCAGCTGAGACCTGCCAGTGCTTCCAGAGGGGCTCTGGGGATGCTGAGCA